TTTATGTTCTAATACCTTTATTTTGAAAACGGAGTAAATACGCTGTCTTCTCGCGATTTCATAATGCTGAGAATATTGTACACTCGAAATTTAAGTGCGGCTGATTTGACCACATAGATCGGAGTCACAGCTGGCTGACCGCAGTCTATAGCTCCTGTTTCTTCTACAAGAGCACCGTCCTGTAAACTCACAACTCCGTCTCAGATATAAAAAAACTTTTTTCCGTTTCTGTTTTCTAAGTGATTTTATTTTTGTTATATGAAATAGAAAATGAAACTGAATATTTTTTTTAATTTCGCTCTTTATGACCATGAAAAAGAAAAACCCTTGTTATTTATTTCAATTTTAATTTTTGTATTTTAAAACGAAAATCAAATAACCACTCGTTTTCTGTTTTTTAATACCCGTTTCTGAAAGGAAAATCCAATGACCAAAAGATACACGGACTATATGTATATGACCAGAACAACATATATAAAAGATTAAAATTCTGTCTCTGTTTCTGCTCATATTCATTATTGCTTTATATTTATACGTCGTTTACTGGTGTCAGTGTCTTTACTGGTTTTAAATGTGCTGTATTATTCAGGTTGTTGTTTCCAGGGCCCGCCCGGAGGAGCAGGTACAGTCGGTGAGTTTAGAGACTTCCAGCAGACTGACAGTCTCTCCTCCACTTCCTGTTTCCTCAAATCAAACCCACAGAAACATTTGACCATCGTCTGCGAATCCATAAACGAGGGACGAGGTTCCACTAAAGCTCTGAGCTCCGATTTCTTCTGCACTGAAACATTGTTTTAATAATGATAATGTTGTATGATTACATAATAAATACAGATAAATATAATTAGAATAAAGTTGTTTCTCACACTGATTGTGATTGAATTTGTCTTTATTGAATCTTTATGTTCAGTATCAACTGGACTGACCCGGATGTGTTCACTGTAAACATCTTTTTCAAAACAGCTAATAATCCTGCAATAACTGATGCGTTCATTATTACATGTGAATTGTAGCTTTATTGTGAAATGTTACTTTCTGTTCTTAGCAGAAGATTTTAGTTGTAGACGATGAAGAAGATGAAGATGAAGCTGCTGCAGGAAGACAACAGAGGACTCAGTTTGACCTTCAGAGAGAACAGACGGATCTGCTGTGTGTGTGTGTGTGTGTGTGTGTGTGTGTGTGGTGTGTTCAGGGACCCAGAGTCAGCAGTGAGCAGTTCTCTGTACAGCTGAGTGTTAAAGGAATACTCCTCTGTTTAATGTTAATTATATTTATTATATTTAATAATTAATTCACTGTAGAATCAATCTGATGGACGTTTTCTTTTCTTTAATGTGATCAAATCTGTCTGAGTTTATTATTTGTTTCAGTTCTTTATAACTTCAGATTACAGATGTTTTATTAAGGTATTGAAATATTGTTTTTCTCACAAAACTGCAAAAGTTATGACTAAAATTGGAACTTTATCTGAAAATATTGCAACTTATTATCAGTAAAATTATGACTTTACAATATTACAGTTTTCTACTGTGAAGTTACAAATTAATTTGTATATTTCAACTTTTTCTTGTAAATTTACCACTTAATGTAAAAATATAACTTTTGAATTGTCTAAAATTACAACTTTTCTTCTGGAAGATTTACCAACGACATGTTTCAGACTTTGTTCCTGTAAAAGTGTAATTTTATCTACTAATATTTTATTTGGATTCTCTTCCTCAAATAAACAAATAGTTTATAATAAATATTTCTTATAAAATATATAAAATATGATGCATCGTTATAACTGAACCTCAGCAGTAATAAAATGGAAGAGTTATTTTACTGGATGACTGAAACATTTTACAGGAAACATTTTCATTACTGAAGTAAATATTCTGCTCCACGTTTCCACGGTAATGCCTTCTTTAACAGTTATTTCTGCTTTTTAATGAGAAACATCCCAGAATTCCCGGCGGGCCTGTTTCCTCAGAGGGAACAAAGATCCGGTTGTTGGACAGAAGAATCTGGTTCACGGGACGGAGGTCGTCGCTGCGTCATGCTGCGCTCTCATTGGTCGAATGAACTGTTGATCCTTTAGTTCTGTTTGTACTCTGCTGTAATGGGATTACTCTCATACTCACACTGTGTCTGATAATAAAGTCTCACTATCTCCGTCCTCTCTCGTTCCTGAAGCTCGTCAATGAGACACACTGTTCTTCAGTAGGGACACACACTGACGCTCACTGATACACCAATGCACCAAAGGATGGATTCATCCGCTGCTCAAAGTAGTTCCTATTCACAGTCTCACTCCCTCTCAGGGTTATTATAGTTCACTGAAACTCAACTCAAACTGGGTGAAACAACTAAAACTAGATCTCAGAAACATTATTGTGTAATAATCTATAAAATAAACATATAAACAGGAAACGTCAATTTAGGGTCAAAACAACAAACTTTATTGAGTTCGTAATTTAATTCCTGAACTTCTTAAATCTGCTCTGAACACAGAAACTAAACTGAAACAAACAAACAAACAAACAAACACTGGAAACTGAAAAAGTTCAACTTTTGTTTTAAGATCATTAAATGTAGTTGTTTTAACTCTTTAAGGTTTTATAGAATATTTCACTTCACTGAGAGATTTAATATCAATGTGAATAATTAAGAGATTATTATGTTAATTATGTTCTGTTAAATACAATGAAATCAATCAAATGTGTATTGATGACCTGTGGGCAGGGGGCGGGGCCAGAACAATCTGGACCAGGAGATGATGATGTCATGTGTTTGTTTTAACTGTTTGATGGAGGTCGGGTGGGCGGGGTTTAAGTTTACACAGCTTTTAACAATGTGTGTGTGTGTGTGTGTGTGTGTGTGTCAGCTTTCAGGTATTTTTTTTGGTCTAAGCCCCGCCCACCTGCGGTCAAACACACCTTTCATAAACTCGTTCAAATTTGAAAATAAATGATGTTTGGATTCAAACTTCTCTTCAATAAAAAAATAAACTCTGAGTTACAGGAATTAAAGGTATTTTTAATTAATATATAAACTTAATCACTTAATAAACTTAATAACTTAATAAACACACGTTTTTTTCATATTATTTATGTCAACTCATCAATATAATGTCTGCAGCTTATGAAAGCTGATCTAATCAATAAATTAGAGGTTTAATCTTGCAGCCGTTTATTAATTTCAATAAATGAACTGAATACGTTTTTACAGTAAAAAAAACAAACAGTTATACACTTATGACAAACAATGAAACAACAGATATTGATTAATGTCACATACATTCATTGATCAACAGTCAGGATCAATTCTGGGTTATTTAATAGTTATTAACAACATTTTATAACTTTATTGGATAAAAATGATCAAAATAGACATTTATTGTAGATAAATTAAATTAATTACAATCAAATGCAACATTTCTCCAAACTGAATTAAAACCTGTGAACAGAATTAATCTGAAATCACTTTAATAAAAACAGCTGATAAAACCTATAATAATCGATTATTAGAAAGGCAGCCCGTTAACTTTCATGTTTGTAATGATGTAAAGTCAACTTAAAGAAAATGAGTCAGTGGAACAAACTGCAATGAATGAATGAATGAATGAATGAATGAATGAATTCATTAAAATAGTGCACAAACTGTTAATGTTGACTTTAATTAAGGAGAATGACACTGAATGTGTGAGTCATTACTTTAAGGCTCGGGGAGTAACAGATTACATGTAACTGAGTAATCAGGACACAAATAAAGGTAACTGTAATCTATTACAGTTGCAGAACTAGAGATGTAATTAGATTACAGTTACATTGTTCTGTCTAATAGAAGAGATCAATACTGATTATTGATTTTTATTCACATATTTGGTGTTGAGGTAATCCAACAGTAACAGGAAGTGATCAAATTACTCTGATATTCTGATATTTGGATTACCGACTGTAACTGTAATCAGATTACATTCCAACCCTGGCAGTTGGTTTTCAATAATCTCAATAATCAATAATCGATAATCTGATTTCATGCAGCAGCAGAAGAAAAGTTTGAAAGAAAAAGGCACCACAGTCTGTAATCTCAGTCCTGGTCCTGGACTGGACCCGGACTCTCCCGGGTTGGATCATCAGTCCCGGTCCAGGAGAGGACGAAGGGCTCCAGGGCTCCTCTGGCGTCCGCGGGGGAGGGCAGGACCTCCGGCAGGAACCCCTCCCGGTCCTCCCGGACCTCGAACTGCAGCGTCTGGCTCCGGTTGACGCAGTAGATCCGGTCCCCGAGCACCGCGCACCGGAACGGCTGCGGGTTGTGGAGCGGGAAGGAAGCGCCGCCGTGCCACACCTTCACCACCGTGTTGTACTTGTACACGCTCACCCCC